TATTCTTCCTGAAGAGAACGCACTAAATTAAACTCAAAAATATTAAGTTTCTTCAAAGACATTGAGGATTTTGTAGGTGGGACGTATATGTCCCATGGGCGTGAAAGGGTTAAAGTAATATTAGAAACTTTTTGATGTAAAGACATTTCCATTTTTAATAGCAGAAAGAAAGGGGGCGTGCGCGTAGCGCGCAAAATTAGTGACTAGTTTCTCTAATTCGCCGTTGAGTCAATTGCGTGTCTGTGAAAAAAGGGTCAAAAATTAATTTTACCAAGTACATTCTTACTGGGATTCATTTTTTAATTTAATTTATTATATATTGATATTTAAAAAGTGGAATCCAGTAAGAATGTACTTGGTAAAATTAATGTTCGACACTTTTTTCACAGACACGCAATTGACTCAACGGCGAATTAGAGAAATCGATGATTGAAAATTCTGCTTTGCACGGTCCGACTCTTTTTGTAATATCTCGGGAACCCGTAAATATTTTTTGCTGTTCTTGGTCTCTATTTAAAGCTTAGGTTACAAGGAATAGTCTGTGAAAGTAACAATTTTTTCCATCAACTTTTCTAAATTTTGCCAGGAGTCAAAGTCAGGGTAAGAAATTCCGAAAAAAATAGAATTATTTTTTGTCTTCATAACATGATATCGCGCTTCCTATTTATGCAATACGACTTAATATAGTAGCATTTCATTGGAAATTTAATAAGCTTTCCAATGCAACTTAAAAAAAGCATCTAGCTTCATTTTTAACCGAGTTATCACTGTTTCTGTGCGGGTGTGTTTTTTAATAGCTCGAGATGTTAGCGTTCGCATAATCGGACGGTAGTGTACAAATTTATCAAACGGTAAACATTGTACTGTTAAAAAAATATAAATTATTTTGGACTGATTCAATCTATAAATTCCAATACAATATATACTTTATATACATCAATCGATTCGTCTTGATTCAAAGAATAAGATTTTTAATTCGTTTTCAAATAAATAATAATATTTTCTTGAACAGTAACATAATTTTGCTGAAAGAACTGATTTTTCATAAAAATGCGAATTTTTTTGGCTTTAATTGTGAATAACTTTGCAAATTCTCATACAATTTATACTTTATATAGACCAATCGATTCGTCTTGACGCAAAGAATACTATTTTATTAGGGGAGTATAGACGAAGTTGGACCACTGTCTAGGTAGGCCATTCGCGATTTTTTGTACAAGTTCACTAGCGCTACCTACGCACATGCTTTTTGAAGCTTGTCTTAGTGAAACCTAACTTTTTGTTCAATTACATTTTCGGAGAATCAAAAATTGTGTTTTCTGTGACGTCGGTACAAAAAAAGCTCAAAAAAAGTTTTGTGCATCATGTGAAAAATCATTAATAAAAGATAAAAAAAAATTGAATTGTCAAGGCAAGCATGCAGAAATTTTGTGGGACTTATGATTAAAAGAAAAACAAAGTGAAAAATCGAATCCCGAAACGTATTTCTTTTTGGTTACAACAATTCGGTAATGTTACTTTCTGTCAAGTTCGGCTACTTTGTGTTTAAAATGCGCAAAGATGAGGACGAGCTACTTCATTTGCAAAAACTGCAATTCTGAATAACTCATAACACAGTGCAACAGCATTTTTATTTCTGGGATCGCATTGGGTGATTTTTATAGGTTTTTTGATGCCGAACGCGAATCCGTAATCAGAATTGTTCTATCACCATAGATTTTTGAAAAATTTGACCTTGAAAATTGAAAAAAGGCCGTTTTTGAGGTACTTTTTGGTTCTTTATCAGGGTATAAAAATTTTTTCTAGGGTTTTCATTATATGCGTACGAAAGCCCATATCCTCCTTAACAATTTCCAATTTGGACCTTTCAAAAATATCTATTTTTCGATGAGTTATCTTTGTTTGCAGTTCGCGTCGCATCGTAAAATCAGCAAAAATACCGTTTTTGAGGTATTTTTGTGTTTTTTATCAGGGTACAAAAATTTTTCCTAGTGTTTCAATGATATGCGTACGAAAGCTCATATCCTTCTCAACAATCTCCAATTTTTGACATTTTAAAAATATCTATTTCTCGATGAGCTATCCTTGTTTGAAGTTCGCATCGTAACGTCAAATGGGATAACAGTGAGAAAAATATTAACATAATATTAATATTATTATAGCTTATTTGTGATTCAAACATATCATGGCTCATATCATAACTTTTTTCTCCGGTGCATCGGACCCTATATTAATATTATTAATATTAACCAATTAAATCTCAAGAAGATACCATTATTCATTAAAGAAACTATTACATTCTTAGGAAAATCAAAAATAAATTGACCATTGTTTTTTTTTGTTTATCATTTCAGATTTTTTAACAATAATTTAACAAAAACAAAGAAAACTCATCAAAAAATAGATATTTTTAAAATGTTTAAATTGGAGATTGTTGAGGAGGATGTGAGCTTTCGTACGCAAATCATGAAAAACCTAGAAAAAATTTTTGTATCCTGATAAAAATCCAAAAAGTATCCCAAAAACGTCCTTTTTTCAATTTTCAAGGTTAAATTTCTCTAAAACCTAGGGTGATGGAACAATTATGATTACGGATTCGCATTCAGCATCAAAAAACCTATAAAAGTCACCCTATGCGATCCCAGAAATAACAAAAAAGTGAAATTCTGTTGCACTGTGTAATATAATAATTGATAATCTTATAATTATTTTTATTTAATTTTATTAATATTTCAGTGCAAAATTTTTTTTATTTTTATTAATTTTTTTATATTGTTTATTTTTATTATTTTATTATTTCATTAAGTTACAATCTGTAAACAATAAAGGATCAATTTTCCGTAACTCTAAACATGTTATTTTATTTTTCAACCGTGATGCCCTTTGAATTTCAAACATGGACCGACCTTGACTGTAGGGGAAAGGTGTACGAGATGATCCCCCTAAGGGAAAAAACCTATTATTCAAAGAAAAATCAACATATTCGAGGTTTTTTTGTACGCACTACTAGATAATTTATTAATCTATCTAACTATTCTGATTTGAAATATTTGCAGCTAATTAATATTTTACTATTAAATTTAATTTTTCTAAAACCTTACAAAAGGATCATCTTGGACACCGGGGTGTCCAAGATGATCCCCATGGTATGGGCAAGATTATCCGTAAGGGTTATCTTACCCCAATTATTGGAAAAGGAGTCTAAATTGAAGGAATAACAGTGTATCAATGTTGAATATACTTTATTTAGGCCATAAACGCTTTTGACCACTCACCACGATTTGTTTTCCTATTTTATAATTACGAGGCATTGTCTACAACGAGAAAATTAATAAAATAGATGTAGATGGCAACTTTTTGTTTTAGATAAGTTTGTTTTCATAATAAAAACATATAAGAAGCGAGAAAAATTGAATTTTTTATTAATACTAGAAAATTCACTTTGAGGTGAGACGAAATACATAGGAATCAGGGGGGATCATCTTGTACACCCATTGAGTGAGTACAAGAAACATGGAATTTCAGCTACTACAACAAAAGTTATCTAAGCCCAAAGTTAAGCTTTCCTTAGATCAAAAGTATGAAATTTTTATTTTTTCCAATAGAATTTTTTTAATGACGCGGTTGTCATGACAGTTTGACTGATTCATACACAGTAAAAAGAAAATCTTATTTTAAGGCACGAAAGCTGCCTTAAATTAAGATGCAACATTTTTAAGACAGTCAATGTTGAATTTACGCACGTTTTTCGTATCCTTTAACATTATAGCAGACAGTGTTGAATTTAAGGCAGCTCTTAAATTAAGATTTACTTTTTACTGTGTAGATATGTCATTGGCAACGTATTACCGTATTTGCCTAAAAGGTGGCGCTAATAGGCTCTCCAAAATTCAAAAGGATCATCTTGCCCCAGGTGATCATCTCGTACACCTTTCCCCTAATGGCCAACCTGGACTAAAATTTTTTTTTTTGAAATCTTTATAACTTTTTCATTTTAAAACCTACACGGAAAGAAAAAGTCCGTCAATCATTAATAGACTAGTATATTACTTTGAAACGGGACACAAAATCATTGAATGGATAACATTCTTTGAGTCACAATCAATGACGAGTTGCTTGCTAAAATTTAGAAAACTGTCATCAATATATATAAAACTCGTTCACTAAAATTTAGAAAACTGTCAATTAAATTTCCTATGACTATCAAAAGCATTCAAAAAATTCAACTTCTTTCAGATTTATCCCTAATTTTAGACACTATTTGGTACAGAATGAACACATATTTTTCGTTGCACAGTTCCGATATTTTATTTACACTCTTAGACGCTTTAGACCAACAATATTTTTGCATTTTAACGCAAGTAACCTAAAACCCGATGGTTTTTTAGTTGAATTAGTTTTCTTACAAAAAGTTAGAATTTAATTAACTATGCAACTCTACTTAAAAAGATGCATTGGATTTCGTGTAAATGAAACGCATATATTATTTTACGGATTCTATAAGTGTTTATTCAATGTATAGTTTATTACAAAGACGAAGAGCAACTGACTAACCTGGATCTAAGATCGGTTTTCTATCCTGAGATTGTAGTTTAAAAGTGGGGATACAGTGCAAAAAAGAGGGGATATAGCTAAATTTGTACAGTTTCAGGTAAAGGGTCCTGGGCCCTAATTACGAACAGATGAGAAGTCCGTTAAGTGCAATAAAGTTCAGAGTACAATGTCTATTGTCAAAATAGTTTCCAAATCTAAACTCATCTGGCTCTTAATCCCAAAAATAACTTCAAAAACACGTTCAATTTTATTACTTAATCTGTGAGTTTAAGTTATAAAAAAAAGGTACTAGACCTAAGTATAGAAGTTGTAAAGTCATAAATATTTTTGACAATTTTTTACTGAAAAATATCTATCTTAAATTTATTCATTATTTTGAATATTGTAAAATTTTGTGTACAACACAACATACTCCCCCCGTTGAGAACGGAGTGATCAACTAGAAATTACATAAATTCGTTGATGGGCAAGGGTGATAATCCCTTTACATTGCGTTTTAATTCGCCATTGGCAGTTTTTACTACCACTGTCCGGAGAATTCCATCATCTCCAGGATGCATTTTTATTACTCGACCCAATCTCCATTGCATTGGTGGTAAATTATCTTCCTTGATAATTACAAGTGTCCCTTCCTGGATCGAATGTTGACCTTTAGTCCATTTTGAGCGAATATTTAATTCGTTTAAATATTCTTTGGACCACCTGGCCCAAAAGTGTTGTCGAATCTTCTCCAGATGTTGCCAATTGGAAAGCCGGTTTGTAGCAGTTGTAGTGACATCAAGAGAAGGAATACTTGTTAACGATTCGCCGATTAGGAAATGACCAGGTGTCAGAACAAGAAGGTCATTAGGATCATTTGAGATAGGAGTTAAAGGTCTGGAATTCATAATGGCTTCAATTTCTATTGTAAAAGTATTAAATTCTTCAAATGTGAATAAAGAATCGGTTACTACTCTTTTAACATGATGTTTAAATGATTTGACACTTGCTTCCCAAAGTCCTCCGAAATGGGGAGAAACAGGTGGAATAAAATGCCAACGCACACATAAATCGCTTGAAAACTTGAAACATTTTGATTGATGCTCATTAGAATTGAACAAAGCATAGATTTCTTTAAGTTGGTTGTTCGCTCCAACAAAATTAGTCCCATTATCAGAAAAAATGTTAAGAGGTTTTCCTCTGCGTGCTATAAATCTTTTTAATGCGGCCAGAAATCCTTCGGTAGTCAAATCGCTGACTACTTCCAGATGTACTGCTTTAATTACGAGGCAAACAAAGACAGATACATAAATTTTTACTTTATTGCGATTTCTAAACTTTTCTTCCACGAAAAAGGGTCCGCAATAATCAATACCTACATTTATGAATGGTCGTGCCTCCGTAATTCTAACCTTCGGTAAATTACCCATTATATACTCAACCTTTGGAGGATTTGTTCGAAAACATCGTACGCATTTACGAAGAACCTTTCGTACCACACTTCGACCATCCACTACCCAATACTTTTGTCTCATGGAATAAAGGGTCGTTTGAATTCCTGAATGATGATTCTTTAAATGACAATTACGAATGATAAGATCAGTTATCGCATGAGATTTAGGCAAAAGAATAGGATGTTGAACCGCATATGGCAAATCTGAATGTTTTAATCTTCCACCCACTCTCAGAATTTTTTCCTCATCTAAAAATGGGTTAAGTGAAAGGATTTTGCTTCCCTTGGAAAGTTCTTTTGATTGAGATAATAGTCGAATCTCATTTGCAAAAGATGATGTCTGAATTATTTTAATTATCCTTTTCTCAGCTCGATTTAATTCATCGATATCCAAAAGTTCTGTGTTTTTTCGATATTTAAATCTCAAACAATATGCTATGACTTTCAATAATAAAGAATAACAAGAAAAGGATAATAAAAATTCAGGCATTTTCTCGCTTAACAAAAGACAAACATTTTTTTTTATTTCAGGAAGTTCGTTCATTTGTTCAAATTGAGATTGTGGCCAAAATTCTTCTTTGGTTTGAAGCCAATTTGGGCCGTTAAACCAAAGATGATTTTTGAGAAAGTCGTACGGTAATTGTCCTCGTGATAACGCATCGGCTGGATTTTCTTTCGAAGATACGTGTCTCCATTGTTCGGGTAACGAATAATTTTGTATTTCCGAAACTCGATTCGCTACAGATGTTTTTAATAAGTGAGGAGACGTTTTAATCCAGTTAAGAGTGATAGTTGAGTCAGTCCAGTAAGTAATTGAATCGAATTCTAATTTGAGGTCTTTTTTTACTTCGTCAGCGATTTTAACCAACAATTGCGCGCCGCATAATTCGAGACGCGGCAAGGAAACGGTTTTTAACGGAGCCACTCGCGATTTTGCATACACTAATTTGACAAGAATTTTTCCATTTTCGTCAAATGATCTTAAATATACGCAAGCCCCGTAACCTTTCTCACTGGCGTCGCTGAATCCGTGTAATTTAATTTTAATAAAATCAGAAATTAAAATTCTTCTTTCGAACATAACCTCCTTTAATGCTGGTAACTGATTACAATACCGCGACCATAAGGTGAAAATATTAGCGGGTACTGATTCATCCCAGTCTAATTTTAATTTCCAAAGTTCTTGCATTATTTGTTTTGCGAATAAAATGACTGGACCTAAAAGACCTAATGGGTCGAAAATTTTTGCTATTTCGGAAAGAATGTTCCTTTTCGTTTTTACCAAATGTGATTCGATGGGATTAACCGTGTATTTAATGACATCGTTTTTCGCGTCCCAAGTAATTCCCAAAGTTTTGACCGTTTGTTCTTTATCAAATTCAAAATCAACGCATTTATCGTCTTTATCTATGTCGCGAATTATTTCCTCATTATTAGAGGCCCATTGACGAAGATTAAATCCAGCACGACGCATAATCTCAATTAGTTCGTTTCGCATTTGAATCGTGTGTGAAATGGTTTCACCACCAGTTAAAACATTATCGACATAAAAGTGATTTTTTAAAATTTCACGTGCTAAAGGAAATTCATCGCCTTCGTCTTCGGCAAGTTGATAAAGACATCGGATTGCTAGAAAAGGGGCCGGAGACAAACCAAATGTGACTGTGTTTAACGTGTACGTTTTAACAGCCTCACCTTCTTTCCATAGAATTTTTTGAAATTTTCGGTCTTTTTCGCGAACAAAAATTCGTCGATACATTTTTTCTATATCAGTTATAATGACGTATTTATATTTACGAAAACGAATAATGTGACTAATTAAAGGGTCTTGTATCGTTGGTCCTGTCATTAAAACGTCATTTAATGATATACCAGTCAACGTTATAAACGAACCATCGAAAACAACGCGAAATTTTGTTGATAAACTTAAAATTTTAATCACAGCTTGATGTGGTATTAAAATCCGTCATTTGGATCATCTGAGTCCGTAACGTCAGTCATTTGTCCGAGAGTAATATATTCATTTATTACTCTTGTGTATTCTTTTGCGAAAACAGGATCTTTTTCAAATTTATAAAGAAGAGCTTTTAATCGTTTTAAAGCTCTTGAATACGAATTTCCGAGTTCCGGAAGTTTGGAATTAAACAATAACGCGACTTCATATTGACCGTTTTCAACGCGTTTTACCGTTTTGCGAAAGAATTCTTCACATTCAACTTCTTCCTTCGACCAAATTACATTTTTATTTCCTTCCTCGATTTCCCAAAAACGAGTTAACGTGTCGAGCAAGTTAATTAAGTTACATTTTGCTGAATTTACTTGCTTTGAATAATTAAAGTTTCCTCCAATTATCCATCCTAATCGCGTTTTTTGCAAAAAAATGTCTTCGTGATTTTTTGATAAATTAATTTGCCCTGTGCATAACAGAGACAATGTTGGTCCAGAACCAATCAACATATTAATTGGAGCAGGAATATGAAATTCTGGATCGGCAAGAGGTAAATTTGAAGGCAATCTCAAACTTTCGCGATGTATTGGTTCGCTCGGGATACAATTTGATATAGAAGGAATTGTTAAGAAGTCAAGGGTTTTTTCAAATTCAGTGTAAGTTGAACGAAAGGTTATCGTGACTACATGTTATGTCACCGTTGTCATATCATTTAGAGCTTCTACTGGAACCGAGCATTTTCTTTTTATTAAACCCAATTTGTTTGCTAAATTTTCAGTGACAAAATTAGCAGTTGAACACGTATCTAGTAATGCGCGACATTTAAAAAATTCATTATTTCGATTTGCAACGCGTGGGCACACACTAGTCATTAATTGATTGTTGGGCTCTCGAATATTTACTGAAAATGCGTAGGGCTTTGATACAACAGAAGAATCTAGTCATGTTTTATTTTGAGACAATGACTGTTTCGACGTTTGATCGAACAAATTTTCCTTAGGGTCATGGAGCAATGTATTATGTTTCTGTGAACAAATTAAACATGGACCAAATGTACATATTTTATCTCCATGATTACGTAAGCAATTCAGACACAATGACGCTTCTTTAGCAGCTTGAACGCGTTGAGGTATTGAAAATGAACGGAATTTTTCGCATTTATACACGTTATGAGTTTCGTTACAAAAGGGACACGACTTTTTATTAACTGAAAGAAATGCTTGCCTCGATTTTTTATTTTGTTTTTTATTATGTTCTTGATTCGAACCCGAGTTTGAATTTTTATTAGAACGTTGATTTAAATTATCGTCCACGAGTTTTGACAATCGCGCAGCAGTTTTATATAAAAACTCTAACATTTCTTCTAATTTTGGAAATGTACCCTTGTTTATTGTTTCTTCCCATTTTTCAGCAGTATTTTTATGCAATTTCTCTTCCAAAATTTGAACAACAATTTCCTCAGTTACATTTACCTTCAAAGCTTTCAATGATTCAATGTGTTGCTGAGTGTCATCTGCTAACTGTCTTAACCCTTCTGCCGATTCTTTTTCCTGAATAGGAAGTCGAAGCAAAAGGCTTAAGTGTCGGGAGATGATAAGGCGTTCGTCAGCATAAGCAGTTTCTAACAATTTCCAAGCACGTTTATAATTATCACTACTCATATTAAAATTTTTTATTTTATTTGCAGCCTCTCCTGATAACGTTGATTTAAGGTATTGTAATTTTTTAATATCAGTTAAATCTTCTTGATTGTGAATCATACTAGTAAACGAATCTTTAAATGAAAGCCAATCTTCATATCGACCTTCAAATTTTGGAAGTGAAGCTTCCGGAAGTTTAATACGTCTTTTAAATGATCGCGGATGTTCATTTACAGGTAATTCCGCTGCTTGAACAACGTTAACAGGAGTAGAACTTATTTTTAGTTGTTCTGCAAGTGTCAAAAGATCTAAATATGTTTCTTCGATTTCATAACGATCTACTGAATGATCAACTTCTTCATCAAGAAGTTCTAGTTGATCAGCAATATCGTCAAAATTGTGAAAATTAGCTTTAAATTTATCTAACCGAACATTTAATTTTATTATATTTGGCGCGGTTGTTTGATATTCTTCAAGAAATTGTTTAAATTTTGTTGCTTGTGCCTTTAAAGTTGTGAACTTTTGTTTATTTTGTCTTATTTGAATCTCTGCCATTTTTTAGGAAGGAAATATTAAAGGATTCGCGAATCGATAAATGAGCGTTACCTTGTAGATGATCTGCTAGATCCCTTTGCTGCTTCTCGATCCAAATTGCCTCTGGAGTTATTGGAACAGGATTTTGGTCGTTGTTATAAAATCCAGTATGTTGTTTAAAATTTCACAAACAGTACACGGATTTAATAACTTTCGTATAAACGTCCAATTTCAATTGTCCAATAGTTTTTAATTATTGTTATTTTTATGACACTCTCACTTTACACTTTGTTCATAATGTCACTTGAACGATTTTTAAGAGGTCATAGAGTTGCTTTACGTTTATTAAAAGTGATATCAATAAATTGTACGATTTATTTAACACAAATGTACTTAATGTTTACGCATAGACTGTAAATTACTTAGAATATTCACAGTTGAAACATATTATTTAATCACTTATTTCTTCACCTTTACTCTTCTTTATAGAATCCGGCTCGAAGGACCATGGTTTTTTAGTTGAATTAGTTTTCTTACAAAAAGTTAGAATTTAATTAACTATGCAACTCTACTTAAAAAGATGCATTGGATTTCGTGTAAATGAAACGCATATATTATTTTACGGATTCTATAAGTGTTTATTCAATGTATAGTTTATTACAAAGACGAAGAGCAACTGACTAACCTGGATCTAAGATCGGTTTTCTATCCTGAGATTGTAGTTTAAAAGTGGGGATACAGTGCAAAAAAGAGGGGATATAGCTAAATTTGTACAGTTTCAGGTAAAGGGTCCTGGGCCCTAATTACGAACAGATGAGAAGTCCGTTAAGTGCAATAAAGTTCAGAGTACAATGTCTATTGTCAAAATAGTTTCCAAATCTAAACTCATCTGGCTCTTAATCCCAAAAATAACTTCAAAAACACGTTCAATTTTATTACTTAATCTGTGAGTTTAAGTTATAAAAAAAAGGTACTAGACCTAAGTATAGAAGTTGTAAAGTCATAAATATTTTTGACAATTTTTTACTGAAAAATATCTATCTTAAATTTATTCATTATTTTGAATATTGTAAAATTTTGTGTACAACACAACACCCGAGACTTACATATATATTCGCATACTTATAATAACTATACGTAGAAACGCACACTTATAACACTTTACATTTAGAAGCGAACTGTTCTTATATACCAAATAACAAAATTTTTCACAACTTGTGAGAAATGATTTTGCACTAATAACTACTTTTTAATTAGCGAGAAATATAAAAGAAAATATATTTTCATCGAGGTCAATTTCTAGACGCAATTCAACTGCAAATTATTAGGTTAGTTAAATATTCACATTACACATAATAGTATATAGGGATATGTATAGCAGACAGCAAAAACACATGGACTATAGAGAAACCGGAAGAAATGCGCATCGGTACACTGCGCAACAATGCGCTAGTGAAGAGCGCCGATTTAGAATACGAGTCAACTAACGTTTCACAAACTTTCACTAATGATACGTAAACATTCAAACATCCATTGATAACAATTCAGCATTAAATCTAAAACAATTGGTCACATACTGGCATTCTAATCAATCCATGACTGGTTTTTTACACTTTGATGAAGTTTTTCAATTGTTAAGTAAAGTTAAGTAACCATCAACGGAAAAAGAGTCCTGTCTCAAAGTAATATACTAATCCCTTAATGGTTGACGGACTTTTTCTTTCCGTGTATCAATTTACTTTGTACAGAAAAAATGTTCCTACTAACAGGACTTTCCAACAATATACTTCAATTGACCAAATTCCTTTTTAAAAAAAAGTTATGAACAAAAGTCAAAAAGTGGGCCGACCTCGACTACATTCCCCTATATGAGGCATTCCATGTCAAGTGATCCGGGTGGAGAAAAATTTTTCTCCAATCGTAGCAAAACTTGGGGCTTTTGTAGTACTAATAGATAGTAATTTTTCGTGAAAATATTTTTTTACCTAGTCCAATATTTTCCGAGGGGGAGGGGGTTAAATTTTTGGGTTTTTCAGTACAATGCTTATTTCGATAATATTTTACTCTTAAACTATTAAACATAAAAATTTGGCAAGGTACATTTTGGAAAGGTTTTTTCATGCTCTTTCGATTGAAAATAAGCATTTAAAAAAAAATTTTTTTTGACCCAAAAAAATCAAAATTAAAAATAAATTTTAATTTTTTGGAAAAAAGGTCCCATTTTTTTTTTTTTTTTTTTTTTTAAACGAAAGCTGAGGTTTTTTCCTAAAAGGACATATAAATGAAAAAGTGGGACAAGAATGTTTAAACATTGAAAAAATGAATTTTCTCGTAAACAGAGCTAAAAACCGGGTTTAGAGAGTAGAAACCTCTGTTTTTTAATGTTTAAACATTCTTGTCCCACTTTTTCATTTATATGTCCTTTTAGGAAAAAACCTCAGCTTTCGTTAAAAAAAAAAAAAAATGGGACCTTTTTTCCAAAAAATTAAAATTTATTTTTAATTTTGATTTTTTTGGGTCAAAAAAAATTTTTTTTTAAATGCTTATTTTCAATCGAAAGAGCATGAAAAAACCTTTCCAAAATGTACCTTGCCAAATTTTTATGTTTAATAGTTTAAGAGTAAAAAATTATCGAAA